ATATATATGATATATATTATATATATATATATATATTAGATAAAAAGATGTTGGTAGATATATAATTGAAGTTAAATAATTAACATAATTGGTGCTAGCTCAAGTGGTTCATGAGCTCTTTTTGTTCCCTATTGGACCTAGGTTCGAATCCCCTCAACAGCACACTTTTTGCAATTTTTCCACATTAGCGCCACGTGGCAATACAACTCAGCAAAAAAAAAAAAAATCGGCGAATTTCCACGTAGTTCAGCCGGTTACAATGACTTGATATAGGCGGTCAGAGGACCAAAAAACTATTTTTTTTTTTTCAGTTAGGGGACTATTTCCAAAAACAGTCCATTTACGGTACCAAATTAAAAACGGCCTGTATATAAAGGACCAAAAAACTTTTTTTTCCACATTTATGTCCTCAACACACACATATTACATATATATAGTCAATACAATGCATGCAATAAAATTACTTTAAAAAGATTGCTGATTATAAATATATGGCGCTAAAGTCGCCAAAGATACCAACAATTAATTAAATACTCCACAAGATCTGAACCAATAATGATTTCACAAACAATGGCCGGAAAATCACACTCCTTCCTTGTGATTCTCAGTTTTGTGGCGGCTGCCGCCTGGATTTCCGGTGTTACCGCTGCCACTTTTGTTAGCTCAGGATCTCGGTATGCCAGGGCAGGTCGAAGCCCGGCCCGTGAGAGCGTCGAGCCTGTCGTCGTATTGAACCCGAGACACCCGTTTGTGGTGAAACTTGCAAAATTTGCAGTGGCTGAATATAAAATGAAGACCAGTCACGCCAAGTTCAGCTACAGTCACGTATACCGGGCTGCAGTCAAGGATAGCCCGCCCGGAAAAATTTATTCTTTCTTGATTGCGGTGGATGATGAGAGCGGGATGAGTGGCTACGACGCCGATTTATTAGTCCATGGCGATGTGAAAGAGCTTGTCGATTTCCGAAAAAGAGTATGAATCTATAATTACTATCATAAAATTTGTCGTAAGACGTGTATTAGCGTAAAACCAAGTTGTAATAAGCCTGATAAGTATAAGTGGGGTAAGTCAAAGAAATTCGTGTTTGTGTTATTGTACATAGACAAAGCAACAGGTCGACTAACACGGAACCACCCGTAGTCAATCAGCCCGGAACTGAGCCCGTAGTTTGACCGGGACGGTTCTGCCCGCAAGTATAAATTTTTTTTTACCCGGCGGGCTGTATCCGCGCCGGCTCGAAACAGGCCCGGGAGACAACCCTTCCTTTTGAATTTTTTTATTTTCTTTTAATTTTTGGGCCAGACCGGGCCGACTTGTGGCCCGCTAGTAGCCGTTGGCGGCCCACCAATCTATGCCATTGGATTTCTTTTTTACCGTTGGAGACCCGACGACCATATTTTTTTTTTCTTTTTACTTTTTCTTTTAATCTTTTTGATCGATTCTAGTCTGGGTTTAGGTCTAACCCGACTCGCCTGGAACTCGCAACGGTCGACCAACAGTCAATTTTTTAAATTTGAACATTGGATCATATTGACCGTTGAGATCCAATAGTCAAGATTCGCCCCACTCGTTTGACACGGCAGGTCGTAATTAAAAAATAAAAAAAATAGAAAAACCCCCAAAAAATTCCCAAAAAGTTCCTATAAATACCCCCAAAAACCAGATTTTTCACATCATGTACAACATTCTTCCTTTCTTCTCTACTCATTTCTACGTTTTTGAAGTGTTAATTTTTATTTTTTGTGCTCAATTTTCTAAAAATCGGTCCCGATTCTATATATTTATCCTCATTTCGGTTCCTACTCTATAAATTCTTTATATAATACTCTCTCATTTGTAATTCTATCATTTTTCACTTTTCTTTTTATTTTAAAAAATCTAGTCTAGTTATAAAATGATGTGTTCCCGTGGCGATGGTCGTGGTGGTGATCGTGTATGTGATCGGCCACCATAAAAGCATAAAAATGAAGGAGAATCTTCTTCTGATAGACCTCCATTGCCAATGCCAGAGACCGCCCAACGCATCTTTCACTCTATTGAGGAAATCCACGGGAGCTTACAGTTCGAGGAGAACCAGGAGCAGCCGTATGAAAACGATTTCGATCCTACTCAAGGTCAAGGAGATCAACATGCTCAACGGGCTCGAACGGCCGCTGATGGGGGTCAAGGGTTAAAATCTGACAAATTCATAGCACTTCAGAAAGGTGTCCAATGAGAAAGATGATGACAAACATTTTATAGGTGTTTGCAATCATTGTCGAACCAACTCATAGAAGAAGTACACTTTTAAAACCATCGATGGGGATGACCTTAAAAGGGATACTGTAACTTCTACAAGTACTACGACACATGTCGTTAAAGGTTTCGTTAAATATGTAGACATACAACCAAGTACACAGAAAGTCAGAAACTGAAATGCAATCGTCCTAGGAAAACACCTTTAACAAAGTCCAAAATATCTCGTGAGTTTAATTTGTTTTCTAAATAACTCTTAAATCTATAAATTTATTTGTTATGTATGTGTTTTATACTATTTCCATAGCGAGAATTTGATATGTAAATTTGTATCAATGGTTGATCTAGAATCAACTATGGATTGAAAAAGTATAATCATGAAATACAAAGGGATTTTATGGTAAGAGTAGAGAGATTTAAATTTGAATGAGGTCGGCCCCTGTGAGCTCTGAGACCAAACTTTTAGGTTGTGTTGCGTGAATTTATTGCGAATAATTGTCATGTTTGCTTACTTGTTTGTAGATTTTCTTATTCTGTTACATGTATTAACATAGTTGCCCGCACTAGGACTATTTATAGCTAAACACTCTTAGTTATTGTTCCTTTACTATTCATTGAGCCATGTTGCACAGTAAACCATAATAACAGACAATAAATGATGTGCGATTGACCCTAAATGAAATGCTGATTGACGAGCCTTTATTGAGGACAGACCACCCTAGGGGCCTATGGGCCCGTAGGTCTGCAGAGTTGGTGGGTACATCCCACCGGCCATCATTAGGCTGGAAGTGACATTATTTTTTTACTCTCTGAGGTTGAGTGCTCTTTGGGGCCCGATCGATCCTTGTGATCTTCGAGATCGGACATCAGCCATGACTTGAAGTTGGGCTTCTTTCTCCATGTCTTGCGCTTGAACTCTCCTCCGACTGTGAGATCGAACATTCTTCTTGACTTCGAGTTCGTACTCTGCTTTCTCTCATTATCCCTCCGCCAGTCTTCAGGCTCGGTCCTCCTATCACTGAGGGGTGGGATCGAGCTGAGTGTCATGCCATGTGGGACTAATATGGGGGCTCTGCTTTAGAGTATTACTTATTCGCTAATCGTTATGTTGGGGGATTAAGTTCCGGACTTATGCTTACCAACTCATATGCCAACAATTATAATATAAGATGATTAAGTCGTATATATGAGTGTCATTTTAAATAATAATAATAATATATGTTACAAATGTTTAGATTTTAATCAAAAATTTTTATTTTTATTACTTTTTAAATTTATGGATATATTTTTTAACAAGCACTCGTGTAATACACGTGCATTGTACTATTACTATTAATTTTTAGTATAATTTTTTTAACAATCACATGTGCTTGTACTAGTACAATATAAACCGCATACCATGCATTTTGTTCATTATTCAATTAACCTAAAGGTGAAGATATCTATATATATATATATATAATAAGAATTAACATTTAATAAAAATAGTAGCAAAAAAATAGGAGAGATGGTCCTTGAATATTAGCTGCCAACAGACTCAATTCATCCCACAAGACACGTCGTTTGCTAGGATTAGGGTGTGCGTAAACAAAAGTTGAAAAAAGGCTCGATGCAACCTATAAACAGAAAGTTTTATTATTTTTTTATTTTTATCTTTCAAAATCATACAAAATTAAATGTTGCATTAAACTTTGAACTTTAATTCATTTTGTTATTTAAAAATCACAGCTAAGATCTATTAAGAGTGCATTTTTCATTTCTTTTTCATAGAAACAACGAAAAACATTAAAATCTCAGTCTTTATATTTATAAAATCTCAATTCAAAAGGTAATAAAAAAGTTAGTCTATCGTCTTTTATATTTGTGCCTTTCAAAAAAATATTGAATGATATTCTTTAAATATCATTTTCCACTAATCATCACAATTTTTTTTTTTTTTTTTTT